AACATTTACCAGTAGAAAAAGAGCGCACCTACCCTGGACTAAGTGCAGACTCGGTCAGGACAGAAGCAAGAGTGCGGAGGGCCGCGAAGGAAGTGGCGAAAGTCCGATTTCCAGGCGATTATGAAATCTTTAAAGATTGAGTGGGTGAATTTAACCGGGTTCTTCGTAGAACAAGGTATTGTATTTTTCTGACATTATTGGTGGTTTGCAGTTACAATTTTGGGTGTTATGTTTTCAACAGTTGGTAGATGAACGAACCCCCCTGTAAAGTTGCCCTAGAATTTTCCACTAAATCTAGGTGTAATGAGGTTCGCACAGTTTTTCGTGACAAAGTACATGGAATCACACAAAAACACTATCACCTCCACAGCAACGTATAACAATGGCAACAGCCAGAGAAGCTTTTTGAGCTAACTCACTTTGCACCTGTGGGATACTGAAACTGTCAAAAAGATAATCATGAGTCTGAGCTCTCCACATGTGCCTGGATATATTGCCCTTCTAAATTTCTGAAGTCCGTCCTGAGCAGTTTGTTACCTTCACTGAAACAAATAGTAAACCTGTCTCTGTCGTCAGGAAACATTTCCTATGGCCTAAAAACAGCAGTCATAAGACCTTCCTAAAAAGAGCAGTCTGGATCTGCGGACTTCAAAATTATCGCCCCATATCGAATCTGCCATTCATTGGAAAATTCGTTGAAAAAGTGGCCTACAACAACTGTACTGAATTTTTTAACAATGAATAATTTTTTGATTTGTTACAGTCTGGGTTTAGACCTCACCACAGCCACTGAGGACCAGCTTAGTGAAAGGGTAACAAACGGGACATTTCGACTTCACACTGATGCAGGTAATGTCACAGTTTTGGTCATGTTTGTTCTTAGGGCCGCGTTCGACACTGTCGACCATGAGAAATTCCTCATGCAGAGACTGGAGGACTGGTTGGTATCACTGGACAGCCCTAGACTGGTTTTTAGGTCTTCTGGGAGGATAGGATCGTACTTTGTGGAGATGGAGGACTGCGTCTCGGATATGTGGCTGACCTGTGGAGTACACAGGGGTCGGATCCGGGACTCTCCTATTTAATTCTCTAATGCTGCCGTTTAGGACAGTTAATACAAGAAAACAAAGTTGTCTACACAATTACGCGACGACACTCAGATCTATGTCTCACTGACTGCAGGAGCACATGGACCACTGGCTTTGCTCCTTCCACTGTATCCAACTAGATCAGTGATGGATGCAAATAATTTCTTCAGCTAAATGCAGACAGACCGAAATCATTGTCTTTGGTCCCAGAATACAAAGAGAGGGCGTCATTTGCAACTTCAGTCTCTCTCCTAACTTCCTTCAGACAAGGTCCGTAAATTTGGGGAGGGGTTAATACTGGACTCAGACTAAAATTCAATAGCCACATAAAATCAATAACAATCAACAGCTTTTTACCCTCTGAATGAACATTGCCAAAAGTTTGAAATATAGTGTCTAAAGCAGACTGGAGATGCCTTGGTCATGCATTTGTCTCCAGCAGGCTAGTCTACTGCAATGGCTGCTTAAGGTCTGTCCAACAGACCTGTAAGCAGCTGCAGTACATCCAAATGCAGCAGCTAGAGTCCTGACAGAACCAGGACAGTATGACCATAATTAGTACGGTTCTCAGGTCTCTGCACGGGCTTCCTGTGGCTCAGAGAATAGATTTTAAACTGCTCTGCTTGTGTACAAAGTCTCTCCATGGCCTTGCACCCAAATACATTAGGCAAGGCAAGAGCAAGCAAGGGCAAAGGCTAGTTTATTATATAGCACAATTATTAACACAAGGCAATTCAATAAGATGGCGGAACAAATCAAGGAAAGCATTAAAATCATAAATAATCACAGAACATTAAAAAGTAAAGTTACAATATAAATTCCCTCAGTTGTATGCACAGCTAAACGAAATGTCTTTACCTTGGTTTTAACATTGTCTGAGAGGAGGCCTGTCTCACATCTCCAGGAAGACTGTTCCAGATTTTATCAGCATGAATCTGAAAAGCAGCTCTCCTCCCCTGTTTAGTTCTGACTCTGGGCACTAACAGGAGTCAGTCCCTGTGCTCCTCTGAGTCCGGGCTAGGTTATAGGGTACTAACATGTCACTAAATATATATATTTTGGTTGCGAGCCATGGAGAGACTTGTACAAAGCAGAGCTGTTTAAAGTCTATTCTCTGAGCCACAGGAGCCAGTGCAGAGACTGAGGACCGATAATATGGTCGTACTTCCTGGTTCTAGCAGGACTCGAGCTGCTGCATTTTGAATGTACTTGCAGTGTTTTACAGGCCTGTTTGAAGACCTGTGAGCAGGCCATTGCGTAGTCTAACATACTGGAGACAAATGCATGGATAGATCTCCAAGTCTGCTCTTAGATCACAGATGTTTTTGATACTGGCAATGTTTTTTAGCTGGTAAAAAGCTGCTGTGTTACTGATTTGATGTGGCTATTAAAATTTAAGTCTGAGGTCCAGTATTATACCCCTAGATTTCTGGACCTTGTTTGAAGGTTTTAGGGATGAGAGGGAATGTCGGTGACAGATGACGCTCTCTCTTTGTTTCTGGGGACCAAGACAATCATTTCAGTTTTGTCTGCGTTAAGCTGAAGGAGTTGTTTTGCATCACTCACTGATCTGTTGGATTACAGTGAAGGATGTGAGTCACTGGTCCATGTTCTCCTGCAGTCTGTGAGACATAGTCTGTAAGTGTCGTCGCAATAGTTATGATAGGAACTTTGTTTCTGCGTATTACTGACTAACGGCAGCAATGTAGAGATTGAACAGTAGAGGTCCCCAGGATCGACCCCTGTGGGACTCCACAGGTCAGGGCCATTATGATCTGAGAACGTTTCCAATCACCAAAGTACTTCTGGCCTCAAGGTAAGACTAACCAACTTAGGGCCCGGTTGCCAGCGACCTCAAACCCAGTCCTCTATCTCTGTAGGATCTCATGGTCGACGGTTTCTGTCACCAGGCAGCACTTAGATCTAAAAGTTTAAGATTGAGAACTTTGCATGCGGCAGTGTTCAGCCGGAGTATCGTTGTGTAACCTTGACGAGCGCTGTCTCAGAGCTGTGGTGGGGACTATGCGGACTGAAACATAGCTAATGATTGTTGATTTATAAGAAATCTAGTAAGCTGTAGCGTAGAAACTATTTTCAAGGACTTTCCCCATAAATGGCAGATTTGAGATGGGACGATAGTTGTTAAGTTACCGTAGCATCGAGACTGCTTTTTTAGCCTGGGGGCCTGATGTCTGCAGTTTTCAGGGCCTTTGGGATTATTCAGAATGAAGGGGACATGTTTTACTATCTGTATGTGAGTGAAGGTAACAGACTGCTCAGAACAGGGGTCTTCAGAAATTATTGGGTAGTGACATCAAGCTGGCATGTGGAGGAGCTTCAAACTGGAGATTATCTCTTGGACAGTTTATCATTTACAGGTGCAAGTGAGTTAGATCAGAGAGCCTTTCTGGCTGTTGGATGTTATCTGTGGATTGGAGACAATGGCGTTTTGAGCCTTGAACCTTTGTCATTGAAAAAAGTAGCAAATCATTGCATTTTCGTTTGGAAGATAAGCTCTAATGGCATCTTGAACCGGGGGGGTTTGTTAAATCTATATTACTGTTGAAACAGAACACGCAGATTGTTGCTGCAAGCCTTCAATCATTTTCCAGAAAAATACCTTTCTCTCGTATAGTTGCACGGGTTAAAACTCGCACAACTTATCTTTGAAGTTCTCGTATCAACCTGGGAGGTTGGTCTGGCGCCACTTCGCTCGGCCCTTCCAGGCACTTTCTCTTTTGTGCCCTCTGACCGAGTCTGCTTTAGCCCACGGCTCCTTTGTTAGTTTTCACTATTTTAACCTTACAGGTGGCAAACGGTTTCCAGGAACATTCAAACACTAGAGGGTGAAGGTTAAACGTTCATCTATTTGTAGAAACGATGCATTCTCACAGTTTATCATTCCCATAAAATTTTCTAGGGGTTTTTTTTCCCACTTTTTCCGTATTTTCATTTATGTGTCTTCTTCGTACAGTTGCAGAGGGCATGGTGGGTTTGTTTTAGTGAAAACATGTCAAAAACACAGAATGATCGAAAGAAGCAACATCGACCCGTTTTCATTTGAACATTTCACCCCCTTAGTAACTAACAGATCTGAGTGTGCCCTCTGCTGTGGTGGGGCCACTTACGTGCTTGGAGTGAGAATCAAAGGATTCAAGTACAGAACTCAGCTCATTTGCATTTCTGGTCATCAACATTATCCACATGAATATTAAAATTCCTGTAATAACCAACTATCCAAAATCTGTGCATACAACTGAAGCAACTCGGTAAAATTATCAATAAAACTGTGACATGGACTGCGGGTGGATTGTAGTAGGACATCGATAAGTATTGGCGGGAGATTGTTTTTGTTGTATTTTAAAAGACACATATTACAAAAGACGAAAACTTCCAAGGGACATTTATGGGAGACAAAGTGGGTCTCTGGAAAAGGCAGCTAAGCTCCTCCTTTTTTGTTTTCCCGTTATTTCAGATTCAAACTTGAAATTTTGGTGGTGATGCTTCTATTAAAACGCATTTCCTGAATTTTGGTCAAGCCAAGTTTCAGCATTGCACAATAAGATCAAGATTATGAGAAAACAAATAAAATTGTTGATTAAAAAAGACTTGTTACAAAGAGATCTGACTTTAAGCGTAGCAAGTTTCTAAGTTTCAGTGCTCAAGCGGTGTGGTGTCGGCAGATTCTTACACGGAACAAGAATTAGATTTTCCAGATTAGACTTATCTAATCCAGATGTCTTTCTGTAATGTATATCTTTGTGTTTATTCCTAAAGGGAATGGGCAGGTGGCTTCATGACAGGGCCCCAGCGCGTCTCTCCTCTAAACCTAGACTGCCAGTGGCGGCGATAGCAGGGACCTGTGCATCTAGTGTTTAGAGAAAAGAGGGAAGGGGAAGGCGGGGGAGGAGGATGGAGAGGTGGGTGGCTTTTTGGGTGTTGAACGAGGGGGGCAGGGAGGGTGGAGGGTTTTTGGTGATGGGTTAGTGGCCGGGCGCTGGGCTGAGCTAGAGGTTTTGTTTTAGGTGTTGAACGAGGGGGAAGTGGGGCGGTGGTATTGTCCATGAGGTTAGGGGAGGATGGCTGACGGTGGTTTTTGTTGGTTGAATTGGTAAAACCCTAGGTTGGTTTTGGAGGGTACATTTATGGTGAGTGGTTTTAGCATGTTGGACAGGACTCTAGATTGAGCTAGATATGGGTTGTGAGAGGAATAGTCTTAATCGCGATATTATTAGCCCTGCAGAGTGTTCAGGCTAGGTCAAACAAGTGGATGGCGGGGATGAAAAAACAAAGGGAGAGTCCCATTCTATTCTTGAGGAGTGGAGTGGCAGGGGGGACCAAGACAGGTCCATGGGAGGTGGCGTGTGAGGGGGTCTTTGTGGAGGGCTGGTGGTTGAGGAAAACCCAGCACGAGCCTAGTCTGCTGTAACCTGGGTGAGGATGGGGGCTTCAGAGGCGCTGTATAGAAGAAGAAGGCGTGAGCTGCTTTGGAGCAGCTGGGATGAAGATGTTGGTGGTGGTGGTTGGTCGTGGTGTGGTTATGCTTACTGGTTGATGATGCAGTGCTTCTGTGACAGTGGTTGGTGTTGAGGATCCTTTGAGGCGGTGATGGTGTTGAGATCCTTCGGGGGTGGTGTGGTGTTGAGGATCCTTCGAGGTGGTGGTTGTGTTGAGATCCTTCGAGGTGGTGTTGTGGTGAGGGATCTGTTGCTGGTGGTGGTGGTGTTGAGATCCTTCGATGTGTGGACGGTGTTGGAGCTTCGAGGTGGTGGAGGGTGCTGAGACTTTTAGAGTCGGCTCTCCTCCCTTTACGATGGCTGCAGCGCTGCGGAGGATGAGGTTCAGGGCAAAAAAGACTGGTTATCTTTCAAATCACTTTTACTCCGTAATGTGTTAGATGTGGCCCTTTCCCTCATCAAAAAGCTCTTGCCATATTCCAGACCAGATTAAAAATTCTCAATGAAGGCCAAGTCCTCTGCGTTGACATTCGTTGAGTAGAGGAAAAGTTTTTAGCTGATATGACTGACAGAACTTGTATTTTCATTTGCTTCAGTCCAACATTTGGTAGTGGGCCACTGATAACGATAGTTGCGGTCCATTTTAGCAAGGTCGTCCAATTAAGAGAGAGTATCCCGTTTCTAACTTTTCATTGTGATGTCTTGACGTCTCTACTCCCCCCACGTGGATCACAATCTTTTTACCCCGCGGTCGGTATCAGGACAGAAGCCTCGGCGCCAGCCGCCTATATCTCATCCACTTTGGCAGAGTGTACTGAGGGAACTCGAGATAACGCATGTTTACGTGTCTTATCGCCGAATCGCCGATAAAGAGCGACTCTAGCTTGCATTTGGACTTGACCTGAGACTGAGATGGGACTGAGAGACTATGCTGATTCATCTGCCAAAAGTGGGGAAAAGAGGTTCTTGTAATTAAGATTTTGCTGTGCATTATGAAACTCTTGTTATACATTGTTTGCCTTTGTTTGGGCTTGGGCACCATATGTGTTCAACAATTGTCTCTGTTGATTTTGGGGAAATTGAAGTAGCGTATCTAACTTACGTTTTGTCCATTTGGTCCAATTTCCTTCACTGGTATTGTTGTGTTCAGCCCCAATCTGATTCAAGCACAAACATTCGGTTTTGAAGAAGTTTTAGCTCCCTGTTTGAGTGAAAATCAGGTCGCAAAGTTTTGTTCTGTTTTCCCGTTCTCCGGACATGCTGTAAGTTATGGTAAATTCCACATAGTCTTGTGTTGAAGTTTGTAAAGGAGTAATCCGTGTTTTGTGGAATAAAATTGTAATCAAAAAAAAATGAATTAAAGGAGAATAAAAACTGCAGCAAGCGGGGGGAGCAGCAAGAGCTGCACTGCTCTGTCAGAGGTCGCACACAACGTTCTATTGACTTGTTGGTGTATATGGAACCGGCTCGGACTCTGAGGAGCACAGGGACTGGCCTCCTGCTGGTGCCATGAGTGAGAACCAAATGGGGAGGCAGCGTTTCAGATCCATGCAGCTAGATCTGACGAATCTCCCTGAAAATGTGAGGGATGGGTCTACTCTGTCAATGTTCAACGCCAGTTTTTAAGATGTTCTGTTTGCTGTGCATACAACGAAGGATTTTATCTCTGCATTTTCTAATGCACTGCTGTCAATTTATTTATTTATTTTATTTTTAATTCTTGTGTATATTTGAAAGTTTTAATTGGTTTTATTTTTTGTGTAATTTTAATGTTTTTAATTGTGTTTTATTCGTTTGTGTGATTTTAAGTTTTATTGTGTTTTAATCTTTTGTGTGATTTTAGATGTTTTAATTGTGATTCTGGTCGTTCTGTTTTATGTGATGATTTGTGATGTGGGACTGTGAAGGGCTTTGTGTTGCCCTGTGTATGAAAGGCGCTCTACAATAAACTTGTGTTTGATTGATTGATACTAGTAAATGACCACAGTTATAAACAGTATTACACCAAAGGATAACGTATATATTCTTGGTTGTTTAATACTCATGGGTTTAGTCATCAGTTTAACTTGAATTTAAACATTACCACATTTATTATCTGTATTGCATGCAAGTTTCTTTAGGTGTTAAAGTTATTGGCTCTATTCTTGTTGCAAACTATTTTGCATGACAGGATTACATACTTCAACAACAATCAGTAGAGTAAAATCTAAACCGGTCTCGCCACGGTCTGATTCTAAACCCTTTGTACAAGTTTACTTTTAGTGGAACAAAAATCAATGGTGAATTTCGGCTTCAGGAAGAATCAACGTTAAGGATCAAAAAGATAGATAAGGGATAGATGGTTTCTTTATCTACAGAGGAGAAATTACAAAAAGCCACAAGCAAGTTATCCCTGTGTACGTGTCTGCACTGCCTGCTGCTTAACCCCAAACAGTCTACAAGATTTTAGGCTCTTCGTGCCAAAAGAAATTAGCAAAACCGGCAGGCTCCTTATTTCAAGTGCACAGCGTTTACACGACAACGGAAAATAATGTAGTTCTAGCACCTCGACGGTAGTGGGCAGTTGAATCGCTTACAGCACGAATACGCAACCCAGCGGTTGTTCCACTTCCACAAAATAATCCTACTCGGGCCGCCGCCAAAGATCGGGAAAGATATGCTCCGACATAAGTTTGACATTTAACAAGTAGCTGCGGATTTTAGGACACTGAAACTACAGCTTTGCATGGTTTTGGTGTGGACGAAAACGTGCTCGAAGGAAGACGAAGCTCAGTAAGTTGTTAAAGTAGCAGGAAGTGTCAGACACGTTACCACAGGGATAACTGGCTTGTGGCTTTTGTAAATTTTCCTCTGTGAGTAAATAAAGCAATCTTATCTTTATCTTTCTTTTTGATCCTTTAACGTGATTCTCCTGAAGCAGGAATTCACAGTGGATTTTTGTCTCCACTAAATAAGAAACTGTACTGGGTTTAGACAGTGGTGAGACGGTGAGTTTTACTCTACTGAAGTGATGTTGCAGTAGTAATCCTGTGCTGTGCACATGTAGTTGCAACAAGGAATTAGAACCAATGTACTTTAACACCAACAGAAACTTGCATGCAATAAGATAATAAAATGTGGGTAATGTTATATATTCAAGTTTTACTGATGAATAAACCCATGAAGTAGTAACAAACCACGATATATACGTTAACATAGTGTTATACTGTTTTTTATCTGTGGTCTTTTACTAGTATAATCAATAATCAAAGTTTATTTGTAGAGCGCTTTCATACCAGGGGCACACAAAGCGCTCACAGTCACATCACAAATCATCACATAAAACAAACCACCAGGAATCTCAATTAAAACATTAAAAACACACAAAAGATTAAAACACATTAAACTTAAATCACACAAAAGATTAAAACACATTAAAACATTAAATCACACAAAAGAATAAACCATTAAAACTTTCAAAATTACACAAGAATTTAAAAATAAATAAATAAATAAATGACAGCAGTGCCTTAGAAATGCAGTAAAATATCCTTCAGTGGTATGCACGGCAAACAGAACAGTCTTTACCTGGATTGAACATTACAGAGTAGACGCCTCCCTCACTTTTTCAGGAGAGATTGTTCCAGACTTAGCTGCATGGGATCTGAAAACGCTGCCGCACCTTGTTTGGTTCTCACTCTGGCACCGAGCAGGAGGCCGAGTCCCTGTGCTCCTCGAGTCCGAAGCCGGGTTCATTTGACACCAACTGTCACTGCGGTGTGTGTGCGACCTCTGGACCGAGCAGTCGCATTTCTCTAGCTGCTCCTCCTCGCTTGCTGCGTTTTTAATCTCCTTTAATCATTTTTGCTTACCATTTTTATTCACAAAAACTCGGATTACTCCTTTTTAAACTTCAACACAAGACTTGTGGAATTTACTAACTGTTACAGCTATTACAGGAGGACGGGAAAACAGAAACAACACATTGCGACGGCTGTTTTTCACTTCAAACAGGAGCTAAAACATTCTTCTAAGACCGAATTGTTTGTGCTTGAATCCAGAATTGGGGCTGAAACACATACCAATACCAGTGAGGGAAATGGACCAAATAGGACAAACGTAAGTTTATGATGACGCTATTCATTCCAAAATTCAACAGAGGACAATTGTTGGTAACACATATGGTGCCAAGCCAAACAAGGCAAAGCAATGATACATGAGTGTCATAATGCCCACAGCAAAAATCTAGAATAACAGAAACCGCTTTCCCCCACTTTAGGAGATGAATCAGCAGTAGTCTCTCAGTCCAGTCTCAGTCTCAGTCAAGTCAAATGCAGCTGAGTCGCTCTTTATCGGCGATTCGGCGTTAAGGACACGGTACATGCGTTAATATCAAGGTTCACTCAGTACACTATGCAAAGTGGTTGAGTTAGGCGGCTTGCTCCGAGGCTTTGTCTGAGGACGGCGGGGTAAAAGATTGTTGATCCACGGGGGGCAGTAGACCGTCTATGACAACACAAGTGAAAAGTTGAAACGGGATTACTATCTTTATTGGACGACCTTGCTAAAATGGAGCAATATCGTTATCAGTGGCCCAATACCAATGTGGACGGGAAGCAAATGAAATTCAGTCGTCTGTATCAGTATAAATACTTTCCTAATAAGAATGTTCAGCAGAGGATTGCTTCATTGAGAATTTTAATCTGTTCTGGAATAGGCATGAGCTTTTTGAAGGAAAGGGCCACTCTGAACACTATACGGAGTAAAAGTGTTGTATGGATAATCCTTTCTTTTGCCTGAGACCTCAGCCTGCGCAGCGACGTGCAGCCATCGAAAGGGAGGAAGCCGACTCTAAAAGTCTCAGCACCTCCACCACCTCGATAGGATCTCAACACCTCCACCCACATCGACGGATCTCACACACCACACCTCAAGGATCTCATCAACACCTCCACCTCGAAGGATTCTCCCACACCACCACTCGAGGATCTCAACACACCACCACTCGAAAGGATCTCAACACCATCACCGCCTCAAAGGATCTCAACAACCTCCACTGTCATCAGAAGCAGCTTGCATCATCACAGTAGGCAGAACCAGCAGCATCGACCACCAACCACCCACAACATCTTCATCCCCAGCCTGTCCAAAGCAGCCACGCCTTCTTCTTCTACAGCGCTTTTTTTTTCGGAAGCCCCCATCCTACCCAGCGTTACAGCAGACAGGCTGTGCTGGGTGTTTCCTCAACACCTGCCCCTCCATCAAAGACTCCCTCGCCCACCTCCCATGGACATGTCTTGGGTCCGCCCTGCCCGTCCCTCCATCAAGAGAGCTTGGGGTACACGT